AAATGAAACAACTTTTGTGAACAACGACTCAAACACAACAAACTTCTTGTATCGCAATAACCGACGATTACGTACAGAATATCAGTCGGAAGTGTCTCTAATGTCAACCACTGACCACTCTTTGTGGGCCTCTTCCTCCTCTTCTTCACCGAATCGTTCATTTGATTGCAATTCATATTTAACTCATAATTAAAGCAAACATTATATAACATAAACACAACTTTCGTTTGAATCAAAACTTTTGTAAACAAAACCATTACATCATTGAATGAAACACTCGATAGAGATGTTTACGGTCTCTAATCAGTGATCATAGCATTAACTATGATATTAGTAAAATTGAATGATTAAATACTGTACTATGGTACAATATATTGAATATTACTGTTATATATTGAATATAAGTCTCTAAACCACTGGTATATTAATAGACGTCGAAGTCTAGGACCTAATAATAGGCTATATTTGTGTAGATTTGAGAGAAGTTGTGAGAGTTGTGGCGACAGAACTGAGTTTGAGCTGAGGAACAGACGGAACAGCGCATCACTACTACTATTAATATCACTACTCATAAACTCTATCATTGATTCAAACTTTGAATTTAATTTAAATTCAATTTTATTTGTAATCATAAATTGAAGGCAATTGTGAAGTATGTCTCGATTTGATTGTGTAGAGAGTGGACCTCCGATCGAGATCTTTGCTCTGAGCAAAGCCTACAAAGAGGACACATTCGCTCAGAAGGTTGACCTTGGAATCGGTGGTAAGACATGATCGCCATTCTTCGCCATTACTTGCATTTAATAAGTATTTAATATGTTTTAAACTGTAATGAAATGAATGATAGCCTACCGGACGGATGAGGCGAAGCCATGGGTACTACCAGTAGTTCGTAAGGCAGAGCGTGAGATCGCTTCCGACGACAGCCTTAATCACGAATATTTGGGACAATTGGGAGACGACTTGTTCTCACAATCGGCCACTAAAATGCTTTTGGGGGACAATTCCTCCGCAATCGCAGAGAAAAGGGTTTGTTCTTTGGGATGACATTTAGAAAATGAGTGATAAATGATGTAAATTATTATTGATTTACAGGCGTTTGGCATACAGTGTCTGTCAGGAACCGGTGCCCTAAGAATTGGCGCAGACTTTCTCCGCCGAAACTGTGGCTTCAAAACGGTGTATATATCAGAGCCGTCGTGGCGTAAGAATTGATGAAATCTATATGTAATGAATGTCTAATGAAATGTAAATCTTGTAGCGAATCACAGACTACTGTTCCTTCACTCGGGCTTTGAATCTGTGCGGACGTACAGGTATTGGGACGCACCCAACCGTCAGCTCCACTTCACGGGTCTTATTGAGGACTTGCGTAACGCACCCGAAGACTCAGTGGTTGTACTGCACGCCTGCGCTCATAACCCGACGGGAATCGATCCGACGCCCGATCAGTGGAAAGCCATCGCAGATGTGATGGAAGAAAGAAAATTGTTTCCATTCTTCGACTGCGCGTATCAGGGATTCGCTTCTGGAGATCTGGACAGAGATGCCCAAAGTTTCAGGACTTTTGTCGACAGAGGATTTGAGACATTGTGTGCCCAGTCTTTTGCTAAGAACTTTGGACTCTATAGTATGTGTTGTTTGCAAATTGTTTTAAACCAATGATATCTTTGTATTCTTTAATGTCATACAATATTTTATTTGAATCTCATGTGAATTAATAAGCAATTAATTGTAATCAATAGATGAACGCATCGGTAATCTAACAGTTGTATTAAAAAATCCTTCGCCAATAGTGAACGTTAAATCACAGATAACTCTATTGGTTAGAGGAAACTACAGGTATTAAAAAGTAGACAATTTATAAAAACTTGACGGTCTAATGAACATGATCGTTATCATGTATAGCAACCCTCCAGTTCATGGCGCCCGCATTGTAGGCAAAGTTCTCAATGATCCTCAACTCAATCAGGAATGGTATGAATTAGTAATAAAACGATTGCTTTTTATAAATTAATTGACAATTGTTTTAAAGGAAAAATTGCATTAAATTAATGTCGGGTCGAATCCAAGACATGAGGAAAACATTGCGCGATAACATCGAAAAGTTGGGAACTCCTGGGAAGTGGAGTCACATTACGGAACAGATAGGAATGTTCTCATATACGGGTCTCAATGGACAACAAATCAAGCATTTGGTTGAAAACTATCACATCTATCTGCCAAAGGATGGACGCATCAGTTTGAGTGGAATCAATACCAATAATGTTGAATATGTGGCCAAAGCTATCAACGATGCCGTCAATCAATTCCCATAAATTAGTCCTTTTCTTAAATTGCAAATCAATTGTTTTCTCTTAAATTCTATTGGTTTTAGCGATAGTTTAAAGAAATATAATGATTATAACTGTTATTCCGGTATATTGTTAGCCGTATTAACTATTGTTAACTATTGTAATGCAATTATAATTTGTTAAAATAAGTAGAATTAAAATGATTTTATAGTTAAATAAATGAATACAAAACTTGTAATACATTTGTTAAATGAGTTTCAAAGTGAGAGAAACAATTGCTGTGCATTTGTTAAGTGAGTTTATTTTTAGAAATCATATCAATTTTGTTGAGAAATAAGACAAGAAATTTGGGTAAAAATAACAAATTTATGGACTAATTGTCTTTGTTTTGTCCATTTGTGGCGACTATTTTAGGCAACAATTTTGAAGTACCGGTGCCTCAATACTTCACAGATGGTGAGCCGCAAGTGAAAAGCTTCAACGAAAATGCGGTCCAACAGATGCAGCGCATCTTTAGAGAAGCAGATCTTGCCCTCAGAGAAAGCCTTCCACTGGTCTTCAGCCGATTTGTTGCCCGACAGCTTAAACGGCCGGCCGGACAACACCTGACACATGAGGAGACCGAAGGCCCAGACGTCGGCGGCGGCGCCGTTCCAGTTGTCGGCTTTGAACGCTTCGGGCGGCAAATGAGGCGCTTTGTCGAACTCCTTCTTCGACAACCGCTTC